ATGTGTTGTTATGAAGTCACATTACACTGAGAGATGGAGGAGATATAAATCACTAGTGATAATGAATGCAAGTTCTGTTTATGCTTATGTTTCTGTATTAACGATGACATACCAAATGTTTTAAAATGAATAAAAATACTTTTCTTCGGAAATGTTTTGTTAACATATTTATCATGTTTTACTGGGAACAAATTCCGCAACATTTTTATTAAAAGAGGTACTCTGATTTTCATAAAGCATAAACAAAATCAGTCTTTTCTGGCCGTGAAAATGGGGATGTCACAGAAAAGACCGATTTTGTTTATGCTTTATAAAAATCAGAGTACTTCTTTTAACAAAAATGTAGCGGAATTTTTTCCCAGAAAAACATGATAAATACATTATCAAAATCTTTTCCGAAGAAATGTATTTTTATTCTTTTAAAACCTTGGGATGTCATCGTCAATACATAAACATAAGTATAAACAGAACTTACATTTATCTACACTAGTGATCTACATCTCTTTTATATCTCTCAGTGTAAAGTAGTTTCGTATCGACACCTGTGATACAAATAAGCTTGAGTGGGTCAGGTTGGGAAACCTGGTGAGTATATAGGGTTTTTAACCCGCAATAATATATCTAATCATCAAAAAATTAATCAACCCAATTACCCATCCCCATTATCTTAATTATTCTTAAGGATCTACCTAAGAATCAGTTATTCCTCGTTCATTCATCCCTAAAAATTATCCTAAGGAAATTGGCACGAAGTCCATCGTTGCCAATGACACGGCTGTCAAGAACAGTTCCTAATATTATCACCTAGGTACTACTGCTAGAATTGTGACATCCTGTATGGGGCGCATCTTCCGGTATAGTCCTTTAGGCGCATCTGTCAGGGTTAAGATGTTCTCTATTAGGCGCTCCCGCCGATAGAGTCCATTAGGCGCATCTACTGGGATTATGATGTTCTCTATTAGGCGCTTCTGACGGTAGAGTCCTTTAGGCACATCTGTTAGGGTTATCCTATTTATTGACAGTATCGTTTTCGAGTGTCCACTCGTAATACATATCAACGGGTTTTTAGAGTACATCGGTGAACACATTGTTCACAACACCTACAGGTTGCGAGCCTGCTAGTGTTCCACTAGATTGTCTAGAACAGTCAGTGGTTGTCATCCATCCTCTGCTAGATGATGGGGCCAACATTTGTGAAAAAGGCTTCTCACATCTTCCACCTCTCACCCTTACCTCATGGTCTATATTACCTCTCAACTTATCGTCCAACTCATATTTCATCTACCCATGTTTTACCCAACATATTATGTAGATATAAATACATATACAGTTTAAATCATATAAAATTTGTATAAAATCGGTCATCCTGCATAGATAGCAAGTATACAGATAATATGCACACATATCACGTAGTTTATATAAAATACATCATATCTATGTGTAAGATGAAAGTAACTATGCACTCACCTGACTAGCTGGTGACTTTGTACTCGGACAGCACTTCGTTATCACAAAACAATTTCCTTCAGACAAAACCTAGTATCATTACCACTAGATTTTAATCTAACGCTTGACGAGACTAATTAATATTCTAGCTATTATTACTATTATATAAGCGTGAAACAATACTCTTCAATCACTATGTACAAATAGGGGCCAGACATGAAACACCATAAGGCAGGATCATTTTGGCGTATAGCACTTCTGAATCCAACAACCCAAGTGGCCCTCCAAACCAGATTCCCCGTACCACGAGTGATTAAAAAGATATTATAACGGCACTTATATAACTCATAATAATAGCCCAAATACTCATTATAAGGTCCTAATAACATTGTTATATTGAAACATAAGTTATACTAAAGTTAGGGTAGACGTAGCTCACTTACAGCGAGTTTTTCTCAAAACCGGGCTCTGCTGGAGCAGCGTTCCCAAGCCGAAAGGCTCTTCTGCTCGGATCCTTCGGGCGCTCCGGGGCTTCCACATCGTGCTAGGGAGGTTCCCTAGGTTTTTCTAGGGGTTTCGAGGCTAGAGAGAGGTTCTAGAGAGAGGGGGAAGTGAGAAGAGGTGTGAGAAACGAAGAGGGATTCACCTCTTATTTATAAGAGGCTGGAGGGTCGCTAACATCATGAGTTTTAAGGTGCTCAACTCGTTAGCCAGTTGGATACAGCCTGGTGCTAACACGTGGCATCACACTCAGGGTGGAAATCAACCGATTTTCAAAAATTAATAACATTCGCATACAGGCTCCATTTTCGATGTTCTTTATATCCACGTGTAGGTAAAAATAATATCTATAACTCTCTTCTTGATTCCATCGGCTAATTATCGACCGATCTTAAATTTAACAGTACGAAGACATTACACTGTTAAATATCCGTGTAAAATTCATAACTTACTCATACGAAGTCAGATTTGGACGTTCTTTTTATGGACGCTCTCGGTTTAACGTATACTAAAACTTTGGTTTAGATTAATAAGGACAAAAATTCCTCTATCGTAAATTCACTATTTTACGTGTCTTGGTGTTGTGCCGGTTTTGCCGCGAAACTTCGACGGGCCATAACTTCTTCGTTATAACTCAGATTTCGGTGTTCTTTATATGTACGGAATCCTTGTAACATATTCTACAACTTGGTTAAGATTACTCATTCTAAATAACCTTCCATTAAAAACTCATTTTTGATGCTCATCGTTTGTAAACTGACTAGCCTGGATCTACAGGCGTTACAACATGTAATATGCCTTAATTACTATCTTAAAATAACTAAAATGATTGGTGCACAATCAATACTACATGAATACAATAGATATTTAAATCACAATAACCTAACCATATATATATATATATATATATATATATATATATATATATATATATATATATATATATATATATATATATATATGGCTTAGGTTATTCTATTCTAACTAATTATTGTGTGGATGTAGGCATGATTGTGAGCCATTCAATTTAATTAATTTAAGAAAGTGACTAATACATATTATTACATTAAACATAATTTTTAATGAATACAAATTTTATATGAAAAAAAATTTAATAGCTTAAAATCATTAATTACATTCATTCTTAACAAATACAACTATGAACATACATAAATGACATTCATTCTAAAAGAATACAAATAATAATGGTTAACAGTTTCATTTATTCTAAAAGAATAAAACTGAGAATCATTAAAAATATAATAAAAAGATATTCTTACAGATCGTAGTTTACTTATGGACACCTGAATGTATATCCATACATATTCTTACATAATAATAGTTTATACATTTTAATACAACTATACGTATTCTAACAGGATATTTTGCTAATCCATTCTAAAGGCCTATCTTGTTCTCCCTGTTGTTTCACGGATGATCGGAGGTGCCAAACACCTTTTTGGATTGTTGCTCTCACACTCCCATTCCTCTCCGTTTTGCTGCCAAGGTGCTCCATCGTAGGTAAAACAATTTCCAGCGAAACCAAGAGGGGAAACAACCCCATCCATAATCCTTGCTTTCTGCCAATTGAAGCAAACAAAAGCCACACGAAGACCATTGTTTCTACTTTCCCCGATTCCGCTCTCCCTCTTCCTTTTTCTTGACTCACCTGAAAAACAAAACCCAAAGGGAGGAGGTTGTTGCCTCCTTTCCAACCATCATCACAACTCTTCCCCTCTTCCCCTATTATCAGTCGAACCTCATCAGCTAGGAACCTCCTTCCGTCTTGGTCCTTTTCTTTTTGCACATTCTGTCAAACAAATGTGACAAACGAGAACCAACGGAGCAGCCTTAGTCGACCACCAGAACAACTGAGATAGTGATCATGCAATTAGTGAACACATAATTAATTAAATATATTCGAACTATGAACGATATAAGGTAGTGATATCTTATCAATGATCATGATAATCAATCTAAGAATAACATGGATATCTAATGCTCTATAACACAATCGAAGTTACCGATTAATATGATCTAACCCTATGCTTATGATCAAATTCCTAGTCATACAAATCAAACGATCATAGATTCATATGATTCAAGTACATCAAGATAGAATGATCATCTAATCCTAATAATACTCAACAATTGACAATAAAAATTATAAATTTAACATTAAAGGTAAAGCAATCAATCAAACACAAGTAAAAACCAAATTCAATTAATCCTAATAACAAAATTAAAGCATATCAACAAGGGTTCATCAACACCTAGTGAAAGTAAAGGTTTTTACACCATATTCAGTAACCTAAAGTAGAAAAATATCACCAAAAGAATTCCATACGCAATCATCTAGAAAACCCGAAGTGTAATCTCGATACAATAGCATTTGAATATTCAAATCCTTGCTCCAATTGAATCTCTAGCTTCAAAATCGATCCTTGGAGGGCTTTTCCTTGTGAATAATCGCTGCCCTAAGCCCTCCATCTCCTGGAAACGACCTAATATCCGTAAAGTATATACTTGCCAAATTCTTGCGACCATGACATGGTTAATAGGCATCACATCGTTGTCTTCATGGATATCATGTATTCTCCAAGTCAGCTCAAAGATCGCAAAGTTTCCATTTACCACGTCGTGGTGGTGATCACCATGTTATGATGGTTGGATTTCACATGTTGGCACAAACATGAAAGTCATCCAAATTGTTTTCTAATTTTTAGATCATTTTGAGTCCCCTTAATCGGAGTTACAAGTCATGAGATACTGACAAAATATTGAAGAGGGTTCAATATGCCAACAACTTCCTTTTTGTGTCTTTTTAAGCTCTGTTCTCATCCTTTTGCATCCGAACTCTCATTTTAACTATAATTGAACATTTTCAAGCATATTAGGTATCATATATAAAAAAAATATGGCATTTTAATCAAATATAATCAGATAATGGCCTAAAATAAATAGCTAAATAAGATCATAGCAATATGCTAGAAAAAGAGAGCATTGCTTTCCTTACAAATCGCATCAAGTTTGTGGTCCCAAGAAACATTGCACTACCAATACCTAGCTCCATCACACAGAAGACAAACTGAAAATTTGTCCTTGGCCTCATCTGGACAAAAGTTGGCGAGAAAGGCACACTCAACATCGGTGATGCACCACATACTAACGATATACTCCCTCCTCCACATAAACCGAGGAGTTCCACAAACGTCAAACTCCAAGAAACTGATATCAAAAGTCCTGAGTTGACCAGACTCCAAATTGGCCCAAAGATTCCTAAACCTCTTGTCCACCACCAAAGTTAACTTAACATTAAACGGACTGATCATGACTGGAAAATCGTCCAGAGTGAACCTCGAAACCTTTGCAACGATAATGTTGTTACTCGGGCCCAAATTCCCTATTAAGAATGGTCACCAACCAATCCAATGATAGCAACTCTTCTACTTTCATTCTTCACCCTTCTCCTTTATCGATTTGGTCAATAAGTTCCTCATTTCCCCATTTTGGTTAGTTGTTTACGTTGGATCGATCAGATGAGTGGCCATTCCCCCTCCCCGTTGCTTCCATTTGTCATTCCTTCATCTTCGATCAGATACAACCCGTAGATCGATTCCCTATTTCCTCGTGAATGCTCAACCACCACCCAAACCCTTTAATGTTTGTCTTCTTTCTTCCCCAGAGATGTGTTCGTTCCCTGCACCAAATGGATCAGACGAAGAAAACGTCGAATCACCTTTTTGTACATCCGGTGGTTTTGACAAAACATGAAGGGACCGGTTTGGTGACTCGCCGAGTCCTAACATGGGTGAGTTCAGCTCCCAACTCACCGAGTCACCCCCCTGTGACTCACGGCTCAACTCGATACATCATGAAGGGACCGGTTTGGTGACTCGCGACCAGACTCGTCGAGTCACATAGATGACTCGCCGAGTCGCAGCCATGCATCCATCAAATACACCGATTTGCTCGATTCCAGTCCATGCCATTCATAGATCTGGACTTCTAGGACACAAATTACACGCAAAGTTTCCAACTTTACGTGTGGATATTCACTAATGTGGATTTTAGGGTGCAAAATGCCTCAAAAGGGTAGATCTAGGATGAGCAAGCCACATGGGGCCATAAAGCTAACAGATCTGAGCTCCTGGAGCTCAATATTGCCTAGATCTAAAGGTTAATCCACTTATTACGAAACATTAAGCACAAACAAGCTTGAAGAATTGCCCAAGAGTGTCCCAAATGAAATCCTAAGCATAAAAACAGGGGAAAACGAGATATACCTCAAGGAAAATGTTGAAATGACACAAAGATGGTTGATCTCCTTCTCCTCTTCTTGATCTACTCCTCTTTCTCCTCAAAACCTTCAAGAACACACCAAGAACACTTCAATCTCTCAAGGAAATAAGGGAAAACGATGGTGGGGGAGTTCTGGGGGTGAATGGGGACGAGTTGGGGCGGAATGAGGGTTTAAATAGGGTGCAAACCCTTGAAACTTAGGGTTTCATCCAGCAGCGGTGACTCGCCGAGTCCAGGATATGGACTCGCCGAGTCGCCTACTTAAAACGTGTCCTGAGTCTCGTCCCTACTCGGCGAGTCGGACCTTATGACTCGCCGAGTCCAAGGCTAAAATAGGGCAATGCTCAAATAAAATTCACATACCGGAAACCAGGTGCTACAAATCTCCCCCACTTATTTTAGACTTCGTCCTCGAAGTCTGCTGCCCGGTCCTGAAATAGCTCGGGGTAATGCTCCATCATCTCGTCCATCGGTTCCCAAGTCCATTCCGAACCCTTGCGGTGCTGCCATTGCACCTTTACTTGTTCTACCCTCTTGTTTCTCAACGTCTTGGTCTTTCTATCAAGTATTGCGACTGGGCGCTCAATGTAATTCAAGCTGTCATCAACCTGAATATCCTCCAACGGTACTACTGCTGAATCGTCCACCAGGCACTTCCGCAGCTGCGAAACATGGAAGGTGCAGTGGATCTGACTGAGCTCGGCTGGCAGATCCAGCCTATACGCCACCTTGCCCACCCGGGCTACAACCCTGAACAGCCCGATGAATCTTGGGCCCAACTTGCCCCGCTTCCTGAATCGAATGACACCTTTCCAAGGTGAGACTTTCAGGAGGACCATATCCCCGACTTGGAACTCCAAGTCGGATCGACGTCTATCGGCGTAGCTTTTCTGCCGACTCTGTGCAGTCTGAAGTCTGCTCCGAACCTGCTGGATCCTCTCGGTCATCTCTAGCACCACCTCGGTGCTTCCCATGACTCTCTGGCCAACCTCCCCCCAACATATCGGGGTTCTGCACTTCCGTCCATACAACATCTCGAACGGGGGTCGTTCAATACTCGCGTGATAGCTGTTGTTGTAGGAGAACTCAGCCAAAGGAAGATAGGTATCCCCAGCTACCACCGAAATCCAGCACACACGCCCGCAACATGTCCTCCAGAGTCTGGATGGTCCGCTCACTCTGACCATCTGTCTGCGGGTGAAAAGCGGTGCTGAAATGCAGACGAGTGCCCAACTCGTCATGAAATTTCTTCCAGAATCTGGAAGTAAAACGCACATCCCTGTCCGAGATTACCGATACTGGCACCCCATGCCGTGCCACAATCTCTCTGATATAGATGTCGGCCAATTTTTCGGCCGATATGCTTTCCTGAATCGGAATAAAGTGAGCACTCTTGGTCAATCTATCCACGATGACCCAAATCGAATCCACTCCCCGTGCGGTCCTGGGAAGCTTTGTGATAAAATCCATCGTGATATCTTCCCATTTCCACAGTGGAATGTCCAACGGCTGCATCTTGCCATGCGGCCTCTGATGTTCGGCCTTGACCTTCCTGCAGGTCAAGCACCGCTCGACGTACCATGCCACATCCCGCTTCATGCAAGGCCACCAATAATCCGGACGAAGATCCCTATACATCTTCGTCGCCCCGGGATGAATAGAAAATCGGGACTTGTGCGCCTCCTCCATCAAAATCTGACGCACGCCACCGTGATACGGCACCCACACCCTACGGTGTAATGTCAAAAGTCCTCTGCCATCATAATCAAAGGAGGAAACCTGACCCACTACACGCTCGCTCTTCCGATGCTCCTCCTTGATAGCCTCCTGTTGAGCCTCCCGAATCTGCTCCAACAGGGGAGTCACCACAGTCATCCTCAAACAGACGTCCCTGATCGGCACCGTCTTGCGGCTAAGCGCATCGGCCACCACATTGGCCTTCCCCGGGTGGTAAAGGATCTCGCAATCATAATCCTTCACCACGTCCAACCACCGCCGCTGCCTCATATTCAGATTCGGCTGGTCCATAAGGTACCTCAAACTCTTGTGGTCCGTGTAGATGGTACACCGAACCCCGTAGAGGTAATGTCACCAAATCTTGAGGGCAAAGACCACCGCCCCCAACTCCAAGTCGTGCATCGGGTAATTTGCCTCGTGAGGCTTGAGCTGCCGCGAAGCGTAGGCAATGACATGCCCCCTCTGCATCAGAACTGCGCCCAACCCTGAAATGGACGCATCGCAGTAAACCACAAAATCCTCTACGCCCTCAGGCAGGGCTAGGATCGGTGCCTCACACAATTTCTGTCTCAACATCTCAAACGCAGCCTGCTGCTCGGGTCCCCACCGAAAGACCACGGCTTTCTTCGTTAGTCGTGTCAGGGGTACGGCTATCTTGGAGAAATCTTGGATAAATCTCCGATAGTAGCCCGCCAATCCCAGGAAGCTCCGAATCTCGGATGGAGACTTCGGGACCTCCCATCTCATCACGGCCTCGACCTTGGCCGGATCAACCAGAATCCCGTTCTGGTTGACGAGGTGTCCAAGAAATTGCACCTCGCGCAACCAAAACTCACACTTGGAGAACTTGGCATACAAGCTCTCCCTCCTCAGGGTCTCAATACCTCCCTCAGATGCTCCTCGTGTTCCTCCCGAGTCTTGGAATAGACCAAGATATCATCGATAAAGACTATCACAGACCGATCCAGCATCGGTCTACACACGCAGTTCATGAGGTCCATGAACGCGGCAGGAGCATTGGTGAGCCCAAACGGCATCACCACGAACTCGTAATGACCATAGCGTGTCCGAAACGCAGTCTTCTGCATATCCTCCTCCCTGACCCTCATCTGATGATACCCCGAACGCAAGTCAATCTTGGAGAACCAAAATGCTCCCTGAAGCTGGTCAAATAGGTCGTCAATCCTTGGAAGCGGGTATCGGTTCTTCACCGTTACCTTGTTCAGCTCCCGATAATCTATACACATCCGATGCGACCCGTCCTTCTTTCTTACGAACAGAATCGGGGCTCCCCAGGGTGAACTGCTCGGCCGAATAAATCCCTTGTCCAGCAGCTCCTGCAGCTGCGTAGACAACTCCTGCATCTCGGGAGGAGCCAACCGATATGGTGCTTTGGCTATCGGAGCCGCACCGGGAATGAGTTCAATCCTGAACTCCACCTGTCGCTCCGGAGGTATCCCAGGTAGTTCCTCCGGGAAAACATCAGCAAAATCTCGAACCACCGGGACCTCGCTCACGGTCGCCTTACCCGCCTCCCGGGTATCCATCACATACGCGATATAACCCGCGCATCCCTGCTGAAGGTAGCGCCTAGCCCTCGCTGCTGAACATACAGTGGGCCCACACTGCGGCCGCTCTCCATGAATCACTAACTCTCCCCCGCTTGGGGTCCTGACTCGCACTAGCTGTTGCGCGCAATCTATCACTGCCCCATTAGGGCTCAACCAATCCATACCAATAATCACCTTGTTCCCACGCAATGGAATGGGAACCAAGTCTACCAGGTAACGCTCCTCAAACAGTCGCAGAACACAATCTCGAAACACCATCGATGCTCGCACCGATCGATCGTCAGCAATCTCTACCTCTAACGGGCAATCTAACTCGCCTGAAGTCTCATGAAATCTCTTGCTAAGAGCAAGAGAAACAAACGATCGGGATGCACCCGAGTCGAACAATACCTGAACCGGGATGCCGTTCACATGGAACGATCCTAATACACATGTATACATACAGAGCACATATCAATATCATAACAACGTAAAATAAAAGATAGAAGGAAGGAATCATACCCGTCACCACATCGGGCGCGGCGCGTGCCTCCTCGGCAGTCAACTGAAATGCCCGACTCCTCACCACTGGAGCCTCTGCCTTGCCCTGACGGCCATCCGTGATCCGCAGGGTCGCTGGAGCTGGCGCCTTCACTGGCGCTGAAACTGTCAACATGGGGCAATTGGCCTTCTTGTGGCCCCTCTGGTTGCAGTGGAAACACAGCAACTCCGATGTCTGAATAACTGCGCAGGAGCAGTGCAATCCCTGCTGATATGCCCAAACTTGCCGCACTTGTAGCAGCCTGACGATCCCATCCTGCACGCCCCCTCGTGCGGCCTGCCGCACCTCCTGCAGCGGCTCGGTCCCGACTGGCCTTTCGGCCTCCCATCTGATCCCTTGGGCTTCTTCCCCGAAGCCCCTGCTGCCTGACCGTCCTCAAGTTTCCGTTTCCGGATGTGCTCCAAATCTATCTCTCTCTCCCTAGCCCTGGCAATCATGGAGTCCAGGGTAGGGCAAGCCGAAAAGCTAACATGCTCCCGAATGTCAGCTCGTAGCATATCATGGTAACGAGTCCTCCTCATATCCTCGTCACCTGCATACTGGGGCACCAATAAAGCCCTCTCCCGAAACTTGGCGGTGATCTCCGCCACGGTCTCTGTCGTCTGCCTCATGTCTAGAAACTCCTGGCCAGCTGCTGAAGCTCGACCGCTGGCGCAAA